CACCCACCCACCCACCAGTCTCATCTTAAGTTCCAAACTGTTTTTATAAAGTAGGTACATGGCTATTGATTGTATTTTGCTAGATATAAATAGCTATTTATAAGCAATAATGATAGCAATCATATCAGAAGGCATGGTTTGATTTATTTCAAAAAAATTGAATTTGTTATTTTTTGTAATCTGAATCTCAAAACAGGAAAGTATACAAGATTGATGCCTGTAGTAATTCAACTCATTACTGTATCATTTTTGTGGGCATAAATAACATTTATATTTCCTTTCAGTGTAAGAATGAAAGTCAGCCAGCAATGTAAATCAATTTAAATGAAAAACCTATTTCTTTCAATTTATGTATCCTGGTATACCAACACAAAGTCAAAGCAATATATTGGAACTTGTATTCCTTTGCTTATGTGTCTGAAAGCTAAACAAAGTATCTCTGTTTACTCTCAGTATGTACCATGAATTCCATAGGATGTGTCAGCTGCTGGAGACATAAAATAAGATTGTATCTCGCTTTTTCAGTTTGCTGTTTAGTGTAGTAACCTTGAGCAGTTTATTCATTTATTATAGACTATCTCATAATGGGGAATTGTAAGTTTTCAAATGTAAATGCTTGCTGTTGAAGTAGTCTCCTTAGTGTAAGCAACTCACATGGTTGAATTATTTGTCTTAGTCTTGAAGGCTTTTTAGATATTTTGATACATGAAAAAAGGTTCAGAAATGTAATTTTTGGTGGGTAGGAAGTTTAAAAATCAAAACATTGGTTTGTGTTTCAGGTTTGTATTCCTATGCACAAGTTCTTAAGCATGCCATTTTCACAGGAGGTGCAGAGACCTTAATTTACTCACTTCTGTTTAACTGGGTATTTATGGGAAGACAATCTGCAAAGAGATAAATTATTAAAAGAACATTAGCTGGTCTGTAGTTAGAAGTATTACTTGGAAAATGGTAATTGTCAATTTAACCCAGTTTTACATTCTTTCTTCTTATTTGTAGCACTAGTACTTATTGCTTTCAGTGAAATAGAACCTTCAAAGAAGATGGGGCCTCTAATCCAGGGCTGATGAAAATCTGTAATTAATAGATTTTGTTTCTCTTTTTTTCTTTTTTTTTCTCCCTGTAGTCCTTCAAAAATCCTGTGTTATGAGATCCTTTGTTCTTTTATCTCTTAGTAGAAATGGAGAGCAACTAGTCAAACAGAGCAGGAAGAGCTTGTGCTAATCTCCTATGTTTTATATTCACATTACTTCTAGACAGCAGCTGATGGTCTTTCCTGCATTACCAGAAATGGACAGGCATTTTATTTGTTATTTCTTGCTTAGAGTAACTTATGCTTCTCTGCTAGGAAAAGGAAAGTAGCACACAACCATCCATGTTATGCACTCTGACCCTTTCATCTTTTAATGAAATATTATCCGCATTAATGAATGGATTTTATTGCATTTGCATTGGGTAAGAAATAGCACATGCACTGGACACAGCTGGTCTGTGCAAGAGCCTCAGTGTGCACTGGATCACCAGGCTGCACTTGGGGGCTTGGTGCTTCCACGAGTGTTCATGACAGTATCCACTGCAGTGGATCTGTTGGTAGCATTTCTATATGGGAAAAGAATTTTGTCTGTATAGATGTTTTTTAAACATCTGTTTAAGAACAGATGCTGAATCAGTGAGCAAGTTATTTGACAACTCTTATTCTTCTTTTCTTCTTTTTTGTTTTTCTGAAGGCTGACTATATTTGCTATGTTATTTCACTTTTTATATACTTGTGCAGAGGACAAATCCATTGCTAGTTGCAAACTGCTCCACTTTAGTGAGTTCCTCTTCAGCAGCTCTGACTCAAGATGGCTTTGGTGATTCTGCCCAAGTATCACAGCTGCAATAATAACATACTTGTCGTGTCAGTTCCTTTTAGATTAGCTTTTTTTGGAAGACTTCACCACTTCTAGAGACAATCTGTAGAGTATGAAGCATGGTAATATTTAGTACTTCTATATTTTTAGTGGATGGTTTTGATGATGATCTTAAATATAATTGCCTTTTGGGAGAAAATCCTCATTTGAGATTATTTGAATAGAAAAAACAATCAGTAGGTCAACATGGAATCATCCCTTCACATAGATAATTTATCTCTGAAAGCCTTACAGGCACCAATATTTTGCTAGAAGGGCAGATGACACTAATCCAGATGGACATTTCTGCCACCATAAATTCAGAAAAGACAGCTAAGGCTGCAGGCCTTTCTTATTTCTCCTGGAGAAAAAATATCCATGGAGAATCAGACATCTGTCTGAATGGTCTCATCATTTAATAACCATCAATTAGATTATGCTTACCACAAACACTCTTTCCAGTATAGAGAAAAGTCAAAACAGACCTAGACATGATTTTTTTTTTTAAGAAGCAATTATGGTAATGCTGAGTCATGGGCATGGTAAATGAGCCAAGACGTTGTCCAGAACTTAAATGCTACCCAATTGTTTTTTCTTTCCTTTGCCCCCATTTTTTCCATGTGCTATTTCAGATATGAGTCTGGATGCTCCTTATGTCCAGCGGGTTGAAAATTCTCACTCTGAAATGTGTTAATGATAAAATGCTATTTTTGCTGCTATTATTGTTATTATGTATCTGAATTTCTCAATTTTCTTGCTGTGTTTGCTTGTAAAAGTGATAATGCTGATAACTGCATAACTCAAATTACAGATTCTAGTTAAACTAGAACATGACTCAGATGTGTCTGGTAGGGAACTCATATTTAGCTGCATTGCAAAGGATCAGAATAATTCTAAGTGTGAAAGTTACTTTTTTCTCTAAAATGAAGAGTGTGTAATACCTTATATTTTTGATAACTTCTCTGATCTTTATTTTTTCAAGGCAGTTATTACTCATCTGGGGACTTTTCTCTGTTCTTGATTTGGTCCATCACAATTTCTGAAACATTAGGGGAGATTATCATCTCAGGATCAACTTGACTTCTGTCACTTGGAAAATACATTAGAAAACAGCCATTTTGAAAAGAAGTATCTTAGCAAGGTAGAATTACCTGAGAATAGGAGATAGTAGCTGTTTTGAGGGCAGTACTGTGACTGCAGCTTCATGATTACACTGCTATCAACTGCAGTGTGGATTCTAATTTTTCTGTACATATTTTTAATAGTGTAAGAAATTCAGTTTCAATTATATATTCAGTTCCTCATTCCTCTTCTCTTTCTTTTTATCACCAGATAATTACATTGCTTCAAGCTAGAAAATTGTGTCAGTCAACTATTGAACGTTTCCTTTAATTCCTCTGAAGTGTCTTATTAATTTTTTCTCTCTGTATTAGTTGTATTAAGCACTATGCTTATTGCACTGAGGTGAATAACAAATTCACTTCCTAACTGTCCTGGTTTTGGCTGGAATAGAGGTAATTTTCTTCCTAGTAGCTGGTATAGTGCTGTGTTTTGGATTTAATATGAGAATCATGTTGATACCACTACATGATATTCCTGGTTGTTGTTAAATAGTGTTTACAGCAAGTCAAGTACTTCTCAACTCCTCATGCCCTGGCAGCAAGAAGGCTGGAGGGGCACAGAAGCTGGGAGGCTGCACAGCTGGGGCAGTTGCCCCAAGCTGGCCAAAGGAGTATTCCACACCATGTGGCATCATGCTGAGTATACAGAGCTGGCCAGAGGCAGCTGCTGCAGCTGCTCAGTCACCCTGAAGAGTTAGAAACCTAGCACACTGTCAGTACACTCACCATTATTAGGAGAAATAAATATCAGTGATCAGGCCTTGTATCCCTCTCCATTTAATCAAACCATCACTTAGATCTGTGCTCATACACATAATGCACTAAGAGATTTTTTTCCATAAGGATAGCATAATACAATATACACCTCACTGCTGTCTGCCAGACAAGTTGTATTTGATCATCTCTGTGGGAGCAAAAATTTTGTGGCCTTTATTCCATAATGGCTACTTATGTTTCTTAGACTGCTTTACTTTTACTTCCCTCTGGGACATCTCCAAGAAATTTCGTGGCACCCCTTCATAACT